TCACCAGCAAGACGGGCATTTTCCAGGTCAAGCTCGTGCAGTTTGCGGTTAGCATCAGCAAGAGCCTCCTTGGCCTCGTGAAGCTCGTCTAGAATGATTTTAGTTAGCGATTTGACTCGTAAAGAACCACTTAAACCCTAGAAAAAGATATCAACCGTGGAGCTTCTTGTTCTCTCTGGCAAGTGCTTCCTTCTGCTCGACAGCCTTCTCGTACAGATGCTTCATCTTCTGTAGTTCAGCATTGGCAGCGCGAAGTTCGCGTTGTACGGCTTCCAATTCCACGTTCAACTCATCGATGCGGACCTTCAACTCGGCGCACTGCTTCTCAAGCTGTTCCTTTGCTCTTTCGAGGATGGCAATAGTGTTCTGGGCCTTCTCCAAATCAACAATCAGCACCTCAACCTCGGATTGAAGTCGACTCTTAGCCTTTTCCAATTGGCTAATCTTCTGAAGCATGATCTCGATCTGCTCTTCATATTCGGCCTGCTTCTGGAGCATCTTCTTACGAAGGTCTTCAACTTCTTCTTGATGGAGAGCAACTTCAGCGTCAAACTTGCTCTTCCACTGGGTGATTTCAGTGTTGGCAAGGTTGAGCTTATGCTCAGCATCCGAACGGGCCGCCGATTCCTCATCGAGAGCGGTACGAACGGAGTCGAGCTCGAGCTGCACTTGGTTGAGCTGTTGTTGAAGTTGGGAGCGTTCCTAAATTTAAGAACAAATGTAATAAGCCCTCTGACTAACTAGTCTTATCTAGAGAGTTCTGCAATCACAGACATATATCAGTAGCCCCGTGATTGGGCGAGACTTACCTGAGCCTATTTGCCGTGCCCTATAGAGCGAACTTTTTAGACAAATTTAGAGGTTCTACAGGCTGTTTTCTTCAAACATCTTTATAGCTTCCCGCAATCTAGAGCATTGCACCCTTTTGCGGCGCCGCTAGGTCGGGGCTATCTAAATCCCTCTCTCTCTCTTTGCACAAAAATTGCCAACCCGAAAGAAACTTTGTCCAGACTTAATCCCATGTCTTCTAGCAAAATTCGTTTTCGCGCTAAATTTAGCAAAGCTCCCCTCCAAGCCAATTTCTTCATCTTCCGCCCAACCGCCATACATCAAAGACAACCTAAGATTAACTTAAATGTACTATGGCGTCACCAATAATAGCCAGCGTAGCTGCATAACAACAACGTCAGCTCCTTTTTTTTGAACGTAATGTACCTTTCATAGCTCAAAACATTTTTCCCCAGCAAACATATAATTAAT